GGGACAGGAAAGCAGAAGTCTTTGATACATTTTGACTTTACAGAGGCCACTGCCATCTGGGAACACCATTGCCATGAAAGGGTGTATGTGGTTTGCAACAATCTTTAGGTAGGTGGTACGTGTCAAAGTAATATCCACATGAATGCCAGGACCCAAGGTTTCCCAGCAGAACAATGTCCAGACCATACCCCAGGTAAACGACGCACACCCACCCAGAAACCATTATTCATCAGACCAGGCAACCTTCTGCTATTGCTCCATGGTCCAGTTCTGATGCTCACATGCCCATTGTAGACGCTTTCAGCAGGAGACAGGGGTTCTGCAGCCCCATATGCAGCAAAATGCGATGATAGAATGGTGTGTCTTCTGACACCTTTCTATCACTGACAGCATTAAGTTTTTCAGCAATTTGAGTGATTGGACTTGACAGGCTATAGTCTTCACTCTCTATGTGCATCACTGAGTCTTGGCCACCCATGCCCCAGTTGTCCTTCCTTGTACCACTTTTGGTAGGTACTTACCACTGCATACCGGAAATACCCCACAAGACATGCCGTTTTGGTGATGCTCTCACCCAGTCTTCTAGCCATAACGATTTGACCCTTGTCAAAGTCACTCAGACCTTTTCCCTTGCCCATTTTTCTTGCTTCCAACACATGAAGCTCAAAAACTAACTGCTTACTTTAAACCTAATATATCCCACCCCTTGACAGGTGCCACTGTAACAATATAAACAATGTTATTCACTTCACCTGTCAGTGGTTTTAATGTTGTGGCTTTAATGTTGTGTGTTTATATGACTTTGGTCCCCACTTTAATGGAAATGTATGGGATTTTTTCCACCTTTTAATCAACCAATAAAATAAATAAATAAATTCTTTATGAAGGTCGCAAAGTACTTAAAAAGTACCACCTACTTTCAGACACAACCATAAAATAGCTTTTGACTGGCTGTTATTGTGCCACATTACGTAGCATTTTCGCTTTTACTGTGAACTGAAAAATGACTTCCAGTTGCTATCATGTTGTGTTGCACCTGATTAAGATGTGGTGTAATTGTGGTAAGTGTACGAATGCCAGAGCTGTGGTGCAGTAGTTACCACAGGTCATCCAGTTTTCAGTCTTGCCTGCAACATGACTCTTTCACTTTAATTTCCTGTCTCTCTCTGATGTGTCTATCCAGAATGTCTTAAAAAATGAAGATAATTATTTTTACACCACAAAAAATTTATCTTATGTCCTAAATGATGTACTACACGAAAGTGTGTGTGCTGAGAGGAGAAAAGGACCAGAGCAGTGATACCAGAGAGCCCTGTTCGCTGGGGACATACAGATGGAAATATATCCGCCAGCCACTTTATGACTTTTTCTTATGCCCCTTCAGCAGAGAGAGAAAAAAGGTCTCTCCCTCTTCTCTCTTTCACCCTTTTTCAGATTCACATAAAGTCTTAGATATTTGATGATTTATGGGGAGAGGAAGAGAAAGAAATGGAGAAAGGGAGGGGGCGCAGTGGCAAGGGGGTTCAAACATGATGCAAACCATTTGGAGGAGAGAGAGGAGTCTGCCAGCACAGCCTGCTCTGTTTAAACTGGGGAGGAAGTGACCGTATATACAGCATGCCAGCAACCTCGCTCTCCCCTCAAACGCACACACACTATCAGTACTGAGGTCAGTCGCTGGCCATTGGCTGCGGAGTGTGTTTGTTATTGTTATATTGTGTTTCTTTACATCACCGCTGAGGCCACCGCTGCCGTTATTATCGTTGTTCTTATTATTACAATCTATGAGGCTTGGGGGCAAACATGAGGGCAAGGATAAAGGAGCACAAGGAGATGAGGGAGACGAAGTAGTAGTAGACAGGACTGAAAAATACAAGACGGAGCACAAGGGAGGATAAGAGGTCAGCGTTTTCCCTCAACACCCGTCCATGACTTAATCTTATAGAGCTCTGAGATGTAGACCTTCCCAGGGACACGACCGTGCTATGACGGGAAGGATGAGAGAGGGGAAGAAAAAGGATGGACAGATTATGGCCCTGCAAGGCTCCGGGGCATCAGCCTTTTTTGGAGGTCCCCTTATGTTGCATTGAGATGTAATGACAAATCATAAAGCAAATATGAGAAATAAAGCCGCAATTGCAAGAATTAACACACCGTGGAAAAAAACACTTTGTACCATGATACTAAACAACATCAAGACTGGTAAAAGGTGTTCAGAAGGCACTATTAGTGCCGAGGAGGAATTGTTCTTATTCCTTCATTTATTTCACATTGTACCAATAGTTGCTTATGTACATTCAACTGTTTTTCATCTGTTCACACCAGTCCTGGCTTACTTATTTTCCTAAGCAACACAAAACATGAAAAAAGAACAAAAATTTTTTTAGGAGACCTGGATCCAAATCCTGTTTTTAAATAAAACAAACTAATATATACACACACATATGTGTGTGTATATATGTATATATATATTTATACATTTATTTATTTTCATACATACAGGGAAATTTGACATGCAAGGACACCTGGGTTCAAATCATGTGAATTGTCTAAACAAACATATATATATATATATATATATAGAGAGAGAGAGAGAGAGAGAGAGAGAGAGAGAGAGCGGGAGAGAATATTTATTATACAAATTTTATATTTTTTATATAATTAACCTACATTGTATTATTTATTTATTTATTAATTATTATTTAATCTCCTCACTTGGCTTCAGACCACAAATCTTGTCATTTTTAAGACCCCCCCCCCCCCCAAAAGCAGTAAATACACATGCTTCAACATATTGGGCTCATACAAGAGATGCAAGTTCAAATCTGACCTGGCCTTGCATCCTGATCCCATTCCCTCACTCTCTCTCTCCCAATTTCCTGTTCTTTCTCAGTCAAAAGTGGCAAGAAGCCCAGAAAGAAATGTACTGGATTGCTTGCATTAAATACTCACAGACCTCAATATAGCAGAATAACAAACTAAACAAATTGTTTTAAGAAAATATTGCCAGGTTGGTTGTCAGAGCTTTGCTATGTGGTTGCCAAGGCATTCTTAGCAGTTTTTGCGTGTTGCTAAGCAGTTTCCAGAGTATTCTGAATGGCTGCTATGCAGTTGTTTATATTAAAAACAGCAAACTTTCAAGTCTGTATGATATTCTGGTGCCTTTATATCACTTTTTTATGACCCATCAAACAAAAATTAAATCTGATTACTGCATAAAGCAGGGATCCCCAAATTTTTTTGTCAGCCGAACCCCTTTCACCCAAAATATTTTCTTTAAATATCTTTTGAGATTTTTAAGTTAATATTTTGATAATTTAACAACACATTTGCATATTATATTGATTGTTTTTGTTGTTTTCTTTTTTAATGACATAATTATGAGCTTTTCATCAACGCACAAACCCCAACTTGGGAAATGCTGATATAAAGTAATAGCACAACTCTCCACAACAAGCTGAATGATTTGAGGAATCATTCATATTTGGTTCATATTTGGTTACAATAGGCATCAGAGTTTCATAGTTGAAGTTCAAATCCAAATGAGCCTTAGCAAGCATAATCAATTATAACGAAGCATTTAAAACTCAGCTGAATAAGTTGTTGGCACTTCTGAATACCTCAAAAGATGACTGTATGAAGGGTGTTAAGTATCGCAGAACATCGGCAGGTGAACCAACCCTTGGGCTCCTCCTGTGGAAATCGACTTGCATTAATTGACATCTCTTTTCCAGAAACAGGCAAACATGGGTAAAAAAAAAAAATCCACTCATGATGAATATCTCAGGGCGCTGATATCAGGCTCTGGCAGTGGGTCTTGTATAATGTGGTGAGACTGGAGTTGGTATGCTTCTCCCATCATACCCCTGGGCGCCCACTCCTTTGAGTCAGCTGGTTTCACTCCACAGATGGTGAGAACGGGGAGGGTTTGCGAGCAAAGACACACAGGGCACTTTTCTGGGAGAAAGAGCCTGGCAGAGAAGCACTTAAAAGTACCAGAAAACAGCTCAAGAATGCTTTACGATATGCAGAGAGGTTCAACAGGCTGGTTGGATTTTGGGCAGGGCGAGATTACAGAGAGGACGTGTGATTGATGGACCGCTCTCCTAGCGAGCTGGCACTCGCGAGTGGGTTAGCCAACCACTCGTACTGCCACATGTACAGAAACTCACTGCCAGACGCACACACACAGACTCCCAGGTCATATCTCACCACCCACACACACTCTTACCCTCCTGCTTCCCAGGTTTCTGGCAAAGGGAGTCACACACACACTGGAAGGGATGCAGAGGCTCATCTGATTTCACAAGAGCAGCATTCGGAGGAGGCCAGGGTGGCACTGGGGATCAGTCATTTGTTTGTGAATCTAGCTGGACTGGTCAGGATATAGCCTATGTTTTTGATTTACTGAAATGAATTGGTTCGTAAGAGTCATTTATTTGAGAATCGAGCTAGAGTGGTCATGCTGTACATTTATGATTCACAAAAAAGGAACAGGGATAAACAGTAATTTGTCGTCAATAGAGTTAAACAGGTTGTGTTTTTGATTAACTAAAAGTAACTTTCTCATAAGAGTAATTTGTTTATGAATGTAGCTAGACTGGTCAAGCTTTACATTTTTGGCTCACTAAAAATAACTAGCTCATAAAAGTAATTTGTTTGTGAATCGAGCTACACTGGTTGCGTTGTCCATTGTTTGATTTACTAAAAAGAATCAACTTGTAAGAGTCATTTGTTTGTGAATCTAGCTACACTGGTTGTGCTGTACATTTTTTGGTTCATTAAAAAAAATTGACTCCTAAGAGCCATTTCTCTGTGAATCTAGCTACACTGGTTGCAGTGTACATTTTTTGATTCACTAAAAAGAACAAACTAAAAGAGTAATTTGTTTGTGAATCAAGCTACTCTGGTTACACTATATGTTTTTGATTCACTAAAAAGAACCGGCTCATAAGAGTCCTTTTTTTGTGAATCAGACTACTACACTGGTCACGTTGTACATTTTTGATTCATCCAAGTCACTTGTTTGCAAATCAAGCTACACTGGTTGCGCTGTATGCATTTCACTAAATTCACTAAAAAGAGATGGATTTTAAGAGTCGTTTGTTGGTGAATCGGACTACACTAGTTACACTTCTTGATTCACTAAAAAGTTATCTGTTTGCAAATCAAGCTACTTCTGTCACACTGTAGGCTTTTGATTCACTAAAAATAACCTGCTCTTAAGAGTCATTATTCGTGAATCGAACTGCTCACATTGTAGAAAAGCGATCAGAGGAGGCCAGGGTGGCACTGGGGATCAGTAACTACACAGCAGGATCCATCTGATTCTGTTTAACCACGCTAACATACACACATGCTCTCCGAAATACTCATATTTCCAATTTGGAAGTGAGCATCTGGCATGTACGTACAAAAAGTACACATTTACTTGAACAAATATGAACATTCACGCACCTATGTGTGTGCGACAGAGTGTAGCGTCAACAGACATCTGCACGAGAGCATCTGTTGGAGTGCGCGTGCATCGCCGCCTGCATGTGCGTGTGTGAAAACGGCTGTGCGCGATGGATTCCACGCATTCACGTGTGTGTGTTTGTGTGTGGCTGGGCTTCAAGATTGTGTCGAGGGCGTGTGTAATAAATGTGCCCGAGTGCGAGGGCCCGAAAGATATATCACAGGCGGAGTGAGAGCAGAGAAAGTGCATCGGGGAGGGAAGTGGGGCAGAGAGATGGATAGATTGGTGAGGAAAAAAGAGGAGGTTGTTGAGTTGGGGGGGTGGGGGTACTGGTTTCTCCTGGGTCCTGCTATGTTTCCCATTATGTAAGCTATGGTCACCGGCAGCATGCCAGCAGGCAAAATAAAAGAGTCTCTCTGGCTTGGCACGGCTCGTATTTTCCTATCCTCGGCGTGGGGTCAGAGAGGGGTCAGGCAGCTGGATGGGGCGCTGGGGGGGATTGTGGGGTCTGGGCTGGCCTCCAAAACCCAAAAGGCCCAGGGTTCAAGTACCAGCTGAAAGCAATCAGGGGGAAATCTGGGAGTGCCACAGCTGCTCTGCGCGGTGCTGTTCTGTGGCTCAACTCTCTCTCTTGTCTTTCCTCCTTCCTTTTCTCTCTCTCCCTCTATCACTCTCGATTGTTTTTCCCCTTGTCTTGCTCTCCCTCAGCCGACACAAAAGGCAAAAACAGCATACTTTTAACATGAAGCCAGCCGTGTGCATATGTATATGCGAGAGTTTGTGCTTGTGTGTGTGTGAGGTCAGGAGGAAGACAAAATGGTAAAAAAACAGCACTACAATCTGCCTAAACCACAGTGAATGGTACACTGTGTATGTCTGACCACCTTTTATGTTTGAGGGGTCTGTGTGCTTGCTGTCAGACACTGTAATAGCATTAATGCCTTCTTATGGCTTTCTGAAAGACTGCAGAAAACATCCACTACTGTGAATTTAATTATAGAAGTGTGTGTCTGGTTGCTGTTAATGACCGAACCTCATCCACACTGAAATCGGGTGTCACTTTAAGAATGGAAATCTGATATTGAATGCAGTATCAGGGTATAAGGTATCGATACCCATTTCCCAATTTGATCTGATTCTGATTCATAAGCTCTTGATGTGAATTCTCATTCATTCTGGTATGTTTCAGTTATAATACTGATTCAAACAGGCACCTCATCTTTTTGAACCATTCAGCCCCAAATGAGTCATTAACTTTAGGAAACAAGCTACTCTGGCTATACACTGGTCAGCCTCCAGCCGATTCTAATAATTTTGATTGGTTATGTCAATAACAGTGCTGACTGCCTATAATAACCTCCAACCCTAACCATTACCATCCATGATATTTCTAAACTAAATCTGTGAAGTTTTAACTTTTCTTGACAGGTGACTGAGCGGACCAATAAAATTGACTGCGGGAAGAGGTGTGCACTTAACTGGTTTGGGGAAAAAAAAAATCTTACTGGTCATATTGTACATTTTGATTAATTAAAAGGAATCTGCTCAGAAGAGTCATTTGTTTGTGAATTGAGCTACACTGGTCGTGCTGTAAGGTTTTTTGTTCACTAAAAAGAACCCGCTCATAAGAGTCATTTGTTTGTGAATCAAGCTACACAGATCACTCTTTATATTTTTGATTCACTAAAAAGAACCGGCTCACAAGATTCATTTGTTCATGATTTGCGCTTTACTGGTCATGCTGTATGTTTTTGATTCATTAAAAGAACCTGCTAATAAGAATCGTTTGCTCATGAATCAGACTACAGTGACTGTGTCATATTTTTGTTTTTGCATGCGGGCAGCGAGGACAGAAAAACATGTCTTGCCATTAATTTATTATAATGTTCAATACACACTTCAAACTCACATTCACAGCTCGGGTGAAAAGATTTCTTTCACCATGGTGCCGAAGACAAGAGTGTTTTGTTTTTGCTGCGTCTTTCATTTGCAGTATAGATGCGGTGTAAAGGAGCATTAACACTGACAGCTATTTGCAGTGACAATGCAACTTAAAGTCATTAATTTTTAACAACAGTTGGTGTTTGGAACACCTACAAACAGCCAAAACTACAGTGATTTGGCAACCTTCAGCAATAACATCCCTGTCGGAGAGAAAGCACCTTTAGAAGGGGGTCATGAGCCCTCTACTTATTCTGACTAAGCATTTACCCAGACGTGACCCTCTCTGCTGGCCAACTGGGGTCAATTACACGCGCACCCTCTCACAAACACCTCTCACTAATCATTAACTCACACTTTCAGCGTTAAGGGGTTGACAGTGACCGATGTGTAAACCTTGGAGTTGCCGTGACCTTTAAAAGAGCGCAGCACCGTTAATCCCACTGTAGGATAGGAGAGCTGTGACCCGACATGGAAAGTGACCACAGCAGCGCTGAGCGGAGCGAAAGTTGAGTGGGCCATGACAGAATTCACATGTAATGAATCCCAAAGCGTACCCACGTAGTAATTTAGCGGAGACAGACGCAAGATCTAGCAAGCGGCCAGGCAGACAGCATCTCCCCACATACACGAAGAGAGAAACCACTGTTATCAAGAATTATGAGCAATATTCAATATTAATACTAACAATATAGTTTGGTGGAATAACAATACACCACAATTCACATACCATACACACACTTTTCAGCCTGACAGGATTGTACACATACAATAGTGCACAATCCACACCACTGTATATACAAACTAAATTAAACTAGAAATCATGCAGAAAAACGTGGAAATAAATCTCATAAACAATTTATTACATTACATTTTATTTTTATTTAATATTTAGTCATATTTATTAACATTAATAAAAAAATTTTTGATAGATTTAGGGACAATTTAAATGAGTTCCATGTCTTGTTGCATTGCTTCTATGAATTTATTAATCATGAAACCCTTGAATGATTTAATGTTCAAGATTCAATATCAGAAACACTAAAACACACATTTTTTTAAAAACTGTAAAGTCAGTAGACTAGTTAAATAATCAGTCTAAAGTAAGCCTGTATAATTTGATTGGTTTTGGTTTACCTGATCACACGTGTTTCTTATAGGGTGTTTATATAAGATATGTCCTTGCATTTAAACAGCTGGATGGAGCACAATGGAATAAAAAAAGAATGCAGAGGTTCTGACATGTGTTTTTAAAAGTTGAACTGTTTTTTACCTTGATAGGCTGTCTTAAAAATGTAATGCTTTTGGTGTGAGATGCAATGCAATATCCAATGATTACAAGAGAGCAGAAATTTGATTTATAATATATAAACATTCCATTAAAAGGTATCAAAAGTAAACTACATTGTTACTATCTATTTAATTACCTATGCATTGTAGAAATATATTTCTAACAAAATATTCTTTATCAGTTTATCAAAGAATCATTTTTTTAAAAAAATCACAGTTTTCACAAAAAAATATGAACTGTTTTCAATGCTGACAATAATCAGATTATTTCTTAAGCACTAAATCAGTGTATTAGAATGATTTCTGAAGGATCATGTGACACTGAAGACTGGAGTAATAATGCTGAAAATTCAGCTTTGCCATCACAAGAATAAACTACATTTTATTTTTAATTGTAATAACATTTCACAATATTACTGTTTGACTGTCTCACTAGATTGAGGGGAAGGAATGGTGTGTGTGAGAGGAAGATGGGAACAAGACAGTAAAAGAGAGCAGAGCGATATGCTAGTTATCAAGGGGATGAGAGAGTGGGGTAGAAAAAAACAAGGAGAAGCAGACACAAAGGGCTGAGCTGACACACACATACACGCTGTCTGTATTCCCAGTATATCTGCATGTGTGTCTGCATGTGTGAATGTGTCAGGCTGGCAACAATGCGGGCCAGGCTGAAGCAGGAAGTGTGTTGGGGATAAGGCAGCCATGTGGCAGGATGTTATGGATTTCTAATTAGAGCAATTCATCTGTCAGTGACGCTAAGCTTTCACTGGCTGCCCTAGTAGACCCTCAACACTCCTGCACTGACCACACGCTCCACAGCTGCTGTTACACCTATCACAGCCTGTGACTAATACACTCAATCAGTGTGCAAATTACAAAACGCCTTTCAGGGGGTCGACTTTCTGTTGTAATTTTGGGGTGCAATCTGTTGAGGTCCATCTCATGCAACCAAAGTTAGCACCACAGCTAGCCAAATGTCAACTATCTTTAAGACTTTTTAAAGAAAACATTAAGGGGTGAATTAGCTAAACACCGGTGTCACTTTCATGCAAAAAGTATCTTATTATCCTGCCAATCATAGTCCAGTTTAAACATCTAGCTGCGCTGAAATTAAAGGGAGGGTTCACCCAAAAATGAACATTTTATCATAATTTACTCAGACTCATGTTGTTCCAAACCTCTAAGAATTTTTTGAACACAAAAGAAAATATTCTAACCAAACAGTTTATGGTAGCCATTAATTTCCATAGTATGAAAAAATACTATGGAAGTCAATGACTACCAGCAACTGTTTGGTTACTAACATTCTTAAAAAAAAATATATAAATGCTGTTCTTTTTAACATTCTATTCATCAAAAAATCCCGAAAAAAACGTATCTTGGTTTCCATTAAAAAAAAAATTCTAATTAGGGGGGTGAGACCCCACCAAACCCCTCCATAATTCATTTATATATATAAATGCTGTTCTTTTTAACATTCTATTCATCAAAAAATCCCGAAAAAAACGTATCTTGGTTTCCATTAAAAAAAAAAATTCTAATTAGGGGGGTGAGACCCCACCAAACCCCTCCATAATTCATTGCCTTCACTGTGATCATTACATTTGCACATGTATGTTCATAATGGACTGGAGTGTCTGCGTGTAAAACGTTGTGTTTCTCATGTTCTAGCTCACTTCGGTTGAGTTAAACAGGCTCTGACAGGTATTGTTCCTCCCACACACACATTGTTTTCACATTCATCCAATGCTTGAATGGCATTTTAATCAAACACTGTGTTGTTGGAACTCAAAGCAGTGAATGTGTTTGCTGTAATCATTCACTTATCGATCATTGTCACATACTGATTTCATTACAGCTCTCTGGAGTTGACCGAGGAGCTTCAATTACTAAACACTCTCTTATTCTGCCAAAACAGCATGCCAAGTTATTGTATTACACCTAGGAAACGGCATCATTCTGATATATAGAAGCAGACAATCATATCAAACACATAACTGATCTGGGATGTGCGTATTTCTCGGAGTGTGTATATAGGGTTTATGTAGCCAAAAAACAACAAAACACTTAAATTAATGAAAAAAAAAAAAGAATTAGCATTTTTGCCCAGTAAAAAAAATTAAAAATATATTATATATATACATACAATTAAAGTTACAAATATTTAAAAGCTTGAATATTAATAAATAATAATAATAAATAAATATCATATCAAAAAATTATAATAATAATTATTATTATTATTTTTTTATTTTATTTTTTTAATGACGTTTTGACAACAGATGATGACTATGTCTTTTTGCAAATTTAGTAGTGAATGAGAATACAGTTTCCCTCAGAAGTTAGCTAAATCTGACAAAAACATAGCCTCGTGGGCAGCGTGTCGACATGTACCGCTATTACGCTTCGGGCGTCCCGTGTTCGAGACCCGGCTCGCGGACCTTTCCCAATCCCATCCCCTCTCTCTCCCATTTCGCTTCCTGTCTCACTACTATCCTATCAATAAAAGGCAAAAATGCCAAAAATAAATCTTAATAAATAATATACTTCTTTTTCCTCTCTTTCTAAATATGCAAAAGGAGAAGGTTTAAGATTTGGTTTAATCGGTGGTCTAAATAAATAAATAATACAGATTTTGCTAACATCAAACCACCAACACTACAACTAGTAATGTTCTTCTGATTAACCTTAATTGATCTGAAATCATTTTTCACACTTGTTTTCTCTGAATCTGAGTGTAGCTGACCTAAACTTGTCTGTCACAAACCAGATTTTGATTTATGTGTAGTTACTGCATCTTTCTTTTGTGGGACTGTACACTACATCCCCATTTAAATAACAAGCTGAACATGTGAGTATATGTGGAACAACAGTCTGCTGAAGTCAGAGTTCGGAGAATCTCAGGAACCCTCCATTCAGAAATAGAGGGATGCAACATGTAATGGAAAAGAGCGGAATGTCTGCATGTGAAAAAAACTGCCTCTTTTTCCGTCTCTTTCTTCTCAGTCATCTTCCCCGATGCATTCCAGCCCGGAGCGGAGCAAAGCATGGCAAGGAGAGAGGGAGGCTGTGCGAGGCCGGGAACACAGAGCAGCGGCCAGAGGGATGTTTAGATAGGTGCAGGCTGCCACTAGGAAGTCCAGGCTCCAATATAAACATGCAGCCACACAGCCCAGCACTCACGACTGTGGGAGAAACCTGCCCCCAGCCGCCTGAAAGAGAGAGATAGAGGGAGGATGGGTACACGGCCACTTTCAAATCCTTGAGGAGTATATACACAGCTGACTAGCCGCTCTGTAGCAATTTCCTCCTCTCTCTCTCTCTCTCTCTCTCTCTCTCTCTCTCACCCCAGGCTGGGCTCTAGAGGCCAAAAGTAATAAGAATATCTAGATGTGATCTCACTAACAAACAAACACACTTCTGCACACACATTCTCACTCGCTCCCACACACACACACCCACACGGGTCACAATTCATCTCTTTAAACATGTCATTTCGATGAGAGTTAGGAAGGGGCATGCAGCTGTAATTCCAGTTAATTTACACAATCACTACATAAGTGCATCAGCAGGGCAGCAACACACCACGAATTGACTGATATACAGATGGGAAAAAACTAAACATCTCAAGTTTTATTTAGAAAAATAACAGTCTTATTCTGAAGAAAAATGCTTAAACCAGATCTAGCCAGCAAAATTTAGCAGATCTTTCTACAAACAGTTAATTTTTGCATTTCACAGGAATAACATTTTTAAAAGGGAAAAAAACATTCAAATATAAAATAATCTAAATATGAAAAATCTTTCCAAAAATGAAATGGAAATGTATAAATAGATAGAGATGGGGAATGAGCCACAACAACATTTATAACCTGTCTGTTTGAGTCAGATCACAGTCTAAGAGACCCAATTTCACTTAAAACTCAATTTTGAGTTATGTGTAGATACAGTATGTATATGGATCAGTCTATGAGAAATAGCATCTGAAACATAACATACAGTGACCCCAAAAAGTAGTTGAATACTTAAGCCACACTTAAAATGTATGAATGTCACTGCATTAAATATCAAACCAAGAGTCATTTATTTGAAGACAGACAGCACAGGTGCACTTTTCAAGCAAAACATTTCACAAAAAGGCTTTAAAGGATAAGACAAAAGATAAACTGTTCAAATGAAGACAAAGTGTTTGCATACTTTCTGGTTGTCAAACTTAGAGGAACATTTCCATATTTAGTATCTCTGCTAGGACACCTTTGTGAACCTGAGGGCCAAGCTGGTTAAAAGTACTAGCAAAAATGATATTTATTTAAATGCCACTTTGTTATTAATGCAGTGGCATTCATACATTTTAAGCGTGGCTTAAAGTTCATCTAAAAATTAAAACTGCCATCATTTTACTCACCCAGTGCAGGGAAAGTCAATGGGGTCCAAAACAACATTGGACCCACTGACTTTTGTTGTATGGACAAAAAACAAACTGAGAATCTTTCAAAATATCTTCTTTTGTGTTCTGCAGAAGAAAGAAAGTCATACAGGTTTGGAATGACATGAGTAATTAGAATTTTTGGATGAAGTCCAAATATATTTTAGGATCAGTGTATGGTGGCAACCATCGTTTCTAGGACTAGGTTTGCAATCGCTAAATGAAGAGGCATGTTTATGAAGGTACAGTATGGCAGATTATCGTGCAGTTATATCATGGGGAGTAATGATGTGATGTATGTCTCTGGCTGTGATGGGTTCTGTAGAGGAGGCCTGCAGACACTCAGGCAGTTTGTCTTCTAGACAAGTTTGTGCAGACACCTCTAATTCGGGTAAAGATGGAAAAAGACCAGCCTATGCATGTTTAGTCTGTTCAGCAGTGATAAGTCCCATGAGCAGCAAGTGTGTAAAGAGCAGGACTGTCACCGCGCATCTCTTTTACACGGCACTTAGAAAGAAACAGAAAGATTTTTTGTTGCCCTGTCCAGCAAGTCTTTAGTGAAAAGCAGTATTAAGACTATAAACAGTGTTGTGGCACATTCCCCATCTCCTTCCTATTTTTTTCCCCATTTGTCTCTGTTATTTTATATAATTTTTTATAAAAAAAATTAATTTCAAAATTCAGAATTTTATTTAAATAAAGAGAAAAAATAAAATATATAAAAAGTAAAAAAAAGTTTATAAAATATAATATTAATAAAAATGATATAAAAAATGTGTGTATATAATTTTTTTATAAAAAAATATTAATTTCAGAATTCAGAATTTTATTTAAATAAAGAGAAAAAAAATTAATATATAAAAAGTAATTTTTTAAAATAAAATATATTAATACAAATTATTTTAAAAATGGGTATAATGTTTTGTAATTCTATTTTATTTATCTATAAAATTTGATATAATATTTTATGTAAAATTCTATTCTATTCTATTCTATTCCATTTCCTTATCCCATATAACAAGGTTGAGCTGGCTTAATAATAGGAAGGATTTTTATTTTATAAAAATAAAAAAGAATTATTCAAGGAAAATATATTTACATCAAACATATTTAATAATAAATATATTTATAGAAAATAAAATTAAATACAATTGTTTTAAGTTTGAATTGTAGAGCTACGTAAATGTGTAAACAATGTAACGGAATGGGGTGTTGTTACTTAGTAAGAAAAAAGACAAGTGTTTTGACCAAAACAGTCGCTGCATTCATACCCTGTTCACCCTGAGGCTTTTGGAGGCCCGAGGCCTGAGGCGCTGGTCAGATCCATAATGCAGCCCTGGTTTTGTCATATAAAGCAGTTATAAGACCAAAAATAAAATAAAAAATACAAACGAGAGTGAGAAAGACTCATTATTAGACACTGGCATTCCTGTTGCGTAAACACACAATGCAATACAGCCTAGATGACACACTGGCCAAATGGAGAAGGAATGGACTCACCCGAGCACATGGACACACAAGCAGGCCTTGACACATCTCTGCCAGTAAACACACACACATTCAGCTCTTGCTGGAACAGCACCACGATACAGCTGCGAGGCCCGTGAGCAGCACCAACACCAACAGCGGGACACATGCAAACACACTGTGATAAACAAAAGATTGCAGTTTTACTGTCATCAACCAGACATCCTCAACATTATCGTTTCACATGAAGTGTGAAGATGACACAAAAGCGAATGTCCCACATACTAATAAAACACTCATTTTTGCGCACATAAAATGTCAATTTTTTAAAACGGGGACATGGGCTGAATGTGAGAGTCAGCACATCTACAACGTCTCTGCTTGGTGTGGCGATCAGTTACACGTATTTCCCCTGAAAAACTCACCATCGAGATTGAGTTTACAGGCACACCAACAGGTTCTTCCTTTGACACACTTTCTCTATGCTGTAGTTTTGCAAAAATGGCCTGTGGTTTCATTGTGTGTGAATGTGGGAGCAGCTCAGTTCCCGAGCTTGAGCTCCGATCAGCTGATCGCCTTATCAGCACAAAGACAGTCACACCTTAAAAAAAATCCATATTTCACATTCATTTAAGATGTGGTTTTTGGGGACTGTCAGCCATAGCTGATACGTGCTGATTAATAATGCCTCACTAAAAGCAGGCCGCTTCCAGGAACATTTTTTGGAGATTCCAAATCAAGGTTAGGGATTTTAGCCTGTAAGAATGGGCTTTGCAGATGTGACGGCTGGAATGCTTAACTGCAGCCACACTGTGTGCCCTATCACTTTTTCTATACAATCAGTTTGCGGTCTCCCATTTAGGCATGTGACGGTATCAAATTTTCATAATTAATTGCTGATTAAATGATAATTGCTGAAGCTTTTACACGGTATTATCACGATATTGCAAAAAAAATGGCAAAAAATGCTGTCATAATATAACAGGTTTAATAATGTTTAAATACAATAACGCAATACACAAAAATCTATAAATTAAACAAAGGTTTCAAATGGATTAATGTGCAAAATAATTATAAAAAACAATATAAAACACTTTACAATAAGGTCTCATTAATTTACCTTGGTTAATGCATTAACTAGGGATGCACCGATATGAAAATTTTGGCCGATACCGATAACCGATTATTCTTTATTTTTGAAAGCAACAATGAGTAATATAAATTTGTTACAGACGTTATTATTCTTTGTTTAAAAAATACAACTATTAGTTAATGTTAGCTCAGGTCCATTAAATAATACAGCTACAACTTTTGATTTTATAACGTGCTATTAAATGTTGAAACATACTAATAAAACACTAATTTTTGTTACTCCCATACACATACTTGCGCACATAAATCTAACTGCCTCAGAAGAATTTTTCATTGGGATTTTTTGTTAACTAATGAATTAACTAATGCTAAACAATGGAGCGTTAATGTAAAGTGTGGCCGAACAATAAAGAATAAAAACATTTTCAAACAATATCAAGGGCATGTTGTAGTCCAGATTAAAATGTAAAAGAGTTTGAAAATAAATAGCTTATTAAGTCTAAGTATTTAAGTATTCAGTGCTGGGATGAACACTATAGCGAATACACAAATCTGAATGGCTGTTAGCACACAAAGTAGCACAGGTGCTTTTCTGCTGTTCCATCAGCGCAATCTGCTGTCAGAGAGTTGAATGTGCATTTTCATCAGCGCTTCTCCTTCACTCGTTCCGCCATGCACTTCTCATCCATGTTGGGCTTGTTTACATGAGAGTGCACATGCATCTTTGACGCAGCATACAGCAGTGTTGTGCATTTTAACCAGTTGATGGGAAACGTATTCTTAAAATGCATTCAAAAAATCGGAATAATTTGTAATATAATAATTATTCACGGTATTCTGAAGTGCCCACTATAACAATATTGTGCATGTTCATTATCGTGATATATCTGTACTGTATATTTAATAACCAAGTGACTATGTTTGGGTTTTACAACTACATCGAATAATAGCTATGATAGTGAAAAGACTGTGAATTGTGAAATAATCAACAATCTCATAACCAATTTATGTTTTGGTGAAATTGGCTAATTGGTAATTTGTTTTAACTTTAATAATCTAATACATACGTTTTCATACAATCCGATGACACCCCTCAATCTCAGAAAAAATGTGCAAAAAATGTACCTTTAGGGGTACAACAGCTTGTCACTGGGGCAGTACCTTCAAAGGGATACCTTGTACCTTCTTTACACCTAAAGGTTGCATATTAGTACCTTGGACTAGTAATTTGCACCCTTAAGGTAGAAGTATGTACTCTTATGGTACTATTATAAAACCTTTAGGGGTAAAAAAGGTACAAATGTGTCGCTTTGAGGGTACTGCCCCAGTGACAAGCTGTTGTACCCTTAATGGTACAATTTTTGCACATTTTTTCTGAGAGTGCATTGATGGTTATGTTTAGGAGTGAGGTTAGGGGTGAACCTTCTTGTTTCCTAAATACCATACGTTTTATATGCTTAATATTCATACAATATCGCCATCTTGTAAAGTAGTTATGTTTTCTAGTGAGATCGGGTTGGAAATAATTGGGAAATAATTTTCTATTGAGTTGTCCCAGGCTGCATGCAAAAAAAAAAAAAAAAAAACTTGACCAGTATAATCTAATTAATTAACAAATGGCTCTTATGAACGGTTTATATATATATATATATATATATATATATATATATATATAATTTTATTTACTGAAATGAACCAGAATCAAAATCAGAACAGAGAACTTGTGATTGTAATTGATTCAGGAAATCAGTTGTTTTATTTAAAAAAAATGCAGCATTTGGGTCACGCCCCGACCACAAAACCAATGCTCATATCTCCATCTCTGCAAGTTACTGGAACCCCACATGAAAATCACAACACACAGAAATGCACATGAGCAGTATACAGTGACTCTCACATTGTATGGTGTGACAGTTTCACACTTCACGGGTTTACTGTAAATGCAGTTTGAGTCCTAAATAATTAGGAGAGTTATAAAATACGGTAGTCAGTCTTGCCAATATCCAAACAATGTCTTAACATAACTATATTCAGGAATCTAAAAAAGGACTGACAACTGTATTCTGTTACTATGTGAAACAACAAGTATCATATATTTAGTTGTACAGTACATGCTAATTTCCTCTGTTTTTACAGTTATATTACCTCTGCCATCATCTAACACTCAGTTAAACTAATAATTTAATAACACTGTTAAATGTAATTTTTAGCTAATCTCAAAATAAATATACATTTTCATATTGCTTATTATAATGTGATATCTAAATTCACTTTCTAGCATTCATAATGATTGATTTGAGTTTTAACCTAATTGTAAAGTATTACAAAAAGTTAATTATTGACCATATAATAAAAATAATTAGTCATCTGTATCTGCCAGAATTTTAGTATCGGTGCATCCCTAGTCAAATCTAAATTTATTTAACAGGGATTGTATTCCAGGACCAACAATCAATATTCATGTTAAACAAAAGAACATGTACTCCTTTGCAAAATCACCTAGACGACAACATGCATGTTTTATTTTAGATAAACCAATAAGCAAAACCAGCTTTACAAGACAGATCATACTAGTTGACCAGCTTTCACCAGCTATCTTAACTATGCTGGTCCACAAGGTACACCAGCATAAACCAACCTTGACCTGCCTAAACTGTCTTTTAAACAGGCTTTAATGACAGAGTATCTGGAGATCTTTCAAAGTTGAATTGTTCCATGTTGGGAGGCATCTGTCTGCATGCATCACCCTCTCTGGAGTCTGTGGATAAAGACCCAGAATCCTCCTGCATTGTTTCATTGTCGCTGTCAGAAGACAAGAATCATCCTTGTACACACACACGTCTGCCACATCACACAACAAATGACCAACTAGTCAAGAACACTTAACGTTTAAAAAATGTGTATTCACGTAACACTTCCAGACAGACATACACACTAAACGCTTTCACACAAAAGCCACTCACATAAAAACACACCTTACATAAATCCATGTAAATGCAATAAAAGTGTTCCCCTGCAATATAAACACATCGCTCGGCCTGGAGAGGCTTCAGACGGAGCAGTCGTGTAGTGACATATGAGCGTGTCCTGCGACACAGAGAGACTCCATCCTCCATCAACACACATTAACGTGCTGCCTACGCACGCTTCTGCGCCGAGTACGCCATGCTGAAACTAGCCAGGTCCTGCTGGTTTACAATCCGTCAAACTCTGCAGACTGGTCCTGGGTCTCATGTTCTACTACTTTAAAGGAATACACAGCACACACACGCACAGAGACAAACTTTAGGTGTGTGAAGGTGAAGGGCCGAGGCCTCTCTCATTAGCAACAATCTGGAAGTGTTTGAATTTAATTGAGTCGATTAATTCCCATGACCTCAAAGCAAATGAAGCAAACACCCCATTGAATGGCTTGGTGTGCAGAGTTTTATGTCCTGTGTTGATGCATTTCCCATTTGAAACTTGGCCAAGACATGTCAAAGGAATTGTGACATGTATGTTGCAAGCGGTACTACAGGGATACACTTGTTCTAGTTGGTGTTGATGACGTTTGGTTCCATTAATGGTTTTTGAAGATCTACATTCTACCACTGAAGTGAACAGAACACTGTGGTAAATAACAGCACCACTACTGAATCTACTGTGAGAAACATGCAACATAACCAGTGTAGTCTGATTTCTGAACAAATTACTTTAATGAGCTGGTTCTTTTTAGTGAATCTGAAACATACAGTGGGGCCAATATAATACAATTCCTTAACAAATTATTCTTGTCTGTCTTCAGTAATCAGTGGTATTTTATAAAAATACATTTTTTATATTTAACATTTTTAATTATTTAGTTTTTAAAATATTTTTAGTTATTTCAAATATTAACTTTTTTATATATTTTTTTAATATTATATTTTTTACTATAAATATTTAGGACTATTAATGCTGCATATAATTAATTTGTAAAATAAATAATTAATATGTCTACCTAACAAAACTTTATATAATTATGCTGCATTTTTTTCTGATTTGCGGTTTTACTTAAATTGCACTATTTCTAAAAATCTTCCTTCTTCAAAGGTAATAACATTATCATTAGTAGAAACATTGTATGGTATATATCACCCAAAGATAAAAATTATTTCATAATTTACTCATCCTAACCTGTATGACTTTATTTTTTTCTGCCGAACAGAATACATTTTGAAGAATGTTGGCAACCAAACAGTTTTGGTGACCATTTCTTGAAACAAAAAAACCCTGAAACACTTATCTAAGCATCTTCAAAATATCACAGAAGAAAGGCAGTCATTTAGGTTTGGAACGGTATGAGGTGAGTAAAGACAGAACAGAGTGGAATGATAACAATTTCATTTTTGGATGAGCTATCCCATTAAGGAATCAGATTTGTTAAGATGAATTAGAATCCGAAATGGAATTGTTAAATTATTTACGATTCCCATTTCTACTCGACTGTTCAAGAAAAACACTGTAAAACTGCAAAAGACTGAAACATTTAATAGTCAGCATTTAGGAGTACATTACGGTTGCAAAAAAAAGGCCTCAAAGATAACACGCATGGACTAAAAGCCACTTTGCCAAAGGAGATGTTTTGGGGTTTACTGTGGAACCTCACTTTGTCCTGAACTTCAAATTCACTGGCCTGAACCAACAAGAATAGGCAATAGAAAAAGCCATACATGTGGAGGTTTTAAACAGAGTGGCATCTTGAGAGCAAGCACACAATAATGAGGAGGTAGAATGGGACAGAAAAAAAGGGAGTGGAAGATCAGAAGAATGAAGAGGCTCTTCACTGGATACTCAGGGTGGAAAATCCCTTTCTGTTCTCCGACTTGGGTTGAAGAGTGCCATGGGACGTTTTGTCCTGCTGGAAGGGTGAGAGACAGAGAAAGAGAGGTTGCAGCCATTTCTGAAACACACACCCTCTCTGCAGATGTATCATTACTAATGTTTGGGCAGTCTGAGAGCGTGTGTCCACGCATGTGGAGCTCAGCAAGCGTCTGAAAGCCATTGCTTACTGCGAAGAAGTGCAGAGGGGGGAGCGGTGGGAGTGCAGGTGGCTTATTCCTGAGCACTGCCAAGAAAACAGAATACCCTGGGGTGGGAGAAAATAATGAGAAAGGGAGGATGGGATGGAGGTTGATTTAGGCAGTGTTGTTTTTTTCAGTATTGATTTGGAAGGGGCTTTGGGTTACATTGCTGCATGCTCTGCCTTCTACTTGAACCGGGGTGTGACTCGTAGTGAAGCCCAAATGACTTAATTCATTCTTCTAATCCTCCACACGATGCACTTTCAGACCTCAGAGGCACAGGGCTGTGCCCGTTCCCTAAGCTAGAGAAGAACCGAGCCAAGATCCATCGTTTTTGATAACAACACATGCCCTTCCTCTCGATCGCGCAAACATGTTCCCAAGTTCACCCTCCCGCCTTAGACCACAGTCTGTGAGCTGTTCAAAGAAGTATTCTCACTAACACAATCTGCACCAAGAGAGAGCAGGGCTGCATTTGTCAAACAGTGACACGTCCAAAGGCCGCTATTTGCATTAGTGAGAGTCGGCCGATAAGCAACAGAGAGAAAATATTTGTAAATACTTACCCCGTGGGATTTCGATTGGACAAATGAAAGATAACCCTATAAAATGAGCTGCAAAAAATTATTTTCTTACTCAGTATTTTTGTCTTGTTTTCCATTTCATATGGACGCTTGTTTCCACCACAGGATAAAAAAGGTAATTGCAACTTGAGGAAAAAGTCAGAATTGCAAGATATAAACTCGCAATTCTGTGAGATTTAACTTGTGAGATTAGTTTATATATAAAGCAATTCTGACTTTTTTCCCTCCAAATTGGTATATTTATTTATTTTTATTCCATGGCGGAAACAGGCTTCCATAATTACAAATATTTAAAAATTCTGAAATCAGGATACATAGAAGCATATTAAGTCTTGTTTTCTGAAAAATGCAAAAAATAAATAAATAAAAATAAATAATAAAATAAATAAATACAAATCTGCCAATGGTGTAAGAAACAAACTCAGTTCATAGGAAAACAATAATTTGTCCTGTTTTAAATGGTAAGTTCAACGATTTTCAACCAGCTTTGTATTGTTACATAGTCAGTAGCATAAGTAAATGAACAATGTGCATTATTTTTTGTGTTATTCACGCCAAGATATCAGCACAATGCCAGCAAAAGTTCACCAGATGACATAAAATGCATCATCAGGTGGACTTTTGACAAATCCAGGCTTTGGTGAAAATTACAGATTGTACTTCCACATGTTTGTATGCCCACACACAGTCTAATCAAGCCCAATGCATTATGGGTGTTGATGAGGTTTTCCTCTTTTTTTATCATTTTCTCTAGACATGTAGAAAAATCATATTTCTATAGCCAAGTTTTATTAAAATCCCATCTTGCCATCACATTTTTCACAAAACAAGACTTAATATCTTAAGTAATTTTCCTTCTCAAGTAAATAGATTATGATTTAAGAATTTTTAGATATTTGTAATGGAAAACAAGACAAAAATACTAAGTAAGAACATCATTTTTTTTGCATTGTGTGACAGAGATATGTCTGAGCCATTAAAGCCCAAAATCCTGTAGTCCAACAGTCCTAATGGACGGTTTCTTTAGCAGCCCGATCGAACTCACGCTGTTTGGCTGCACCTAATAGCTGAGGCCTTTTGGAAGACCCCGTCGTCCAATTACCGTTCAGACGACCTCAGCTCAACAAGGTGGCTGTCAGCCTACACCTGAACTCAAATGACACGTGCAGATGCACAGGGAGGCTTTAAACTTGGCCCTGCATAGTAGGAAGGAATCTAGAGGAGCACAAAGAGGAGGAGGAGGAGCAGAGGAGGGGAGTGGAGGGGTAGGGTAATCTTTCCTATGGGTGCTGTGCGATCCAGCCTGTATGACAGCCGAAAATGTGGAACGCATTACGGAAGTCACAGAGTCGGGACATAGATACAAACAAACACATAAATCCCCAATAGACTGACACACAGACACTCCGCCAGACAAACAGGCACCCCTGTGCCCTAACTCCAATGTTTCTCTCTCTCTGTGCTATGTTCTGAATCCTAGTAGGATGCCTACACAGGCAGAATTTTAAGGCATTGTAGATGTGTAGCGGATGTTTCGAAAGCCATGCTACTTCATTATACTAAATTTTGGTCAAATTATAATGTAGCATAGCATGTACAGCAGCATTGCAGAGGAAAAACAATACCATAATGCATTACGTTGACTATTTAAAAAAATGTAATTGATCAAAAGTTACAGTAAAGACTTAATTTACAGTAAAGAAAATGTACCACAGAAAAATTCTACTTCAAATAAATGCTATATTCTTTTGAACTTCCTATTCATTAAAGAATCTTGAAAAAATGCATCAGTTTCTACAAAAATATTAAGCAGCACAACTGTTTTCAACATTGATAATAATAAGAAAATGTTTCTTGAGCACAAAATCAGCATATTAGAATGATCTCTAAAGATCATGCAGCACTGAAGACTGGAGTAATGGCTGCTGAAAATTCAGATTTGCCATCACAGGAATAAATTACATGATAAAAATGGCTATTTACAGTAATTTTGGTTAAATAAATTCAGCCTTGGTGAGCATATGATGGTTTCATTAAAAAAATCCCACCAACCCCAAACTTTTGATAAACGTAAACTAAATATAATCATATATAATATTGTATATATAAGTACACAATTACTCAGAAAAGTACCGGATGGCAGAAAAATATGATTTTATATATGTGTGTGTGTGTTTAAAAATAATAATAAAAAAATAAGCTAAGAAAAGGCAAGCATCGGTTTTTCTTTAAC